AGGCAGGCACTGTGCCGCTGAGCTAAATCCCCAGCCCCACGACGTCTTTTTAAATGTGCAGTTTTATGCATCCCACACAGCATTTTTCAGTAAGCTCATTTCTCAATTTCACATTCTGCAGTATAAATGTTTTCATATGTTGAAAAGTAATGAAAATACGTATTTCAAATAAAACAATTGTTGAATTCTTTGATCCTTACTTAGCTTGGAATATGGATGTTGATCAGTTTCTTTTTTGAGATCCAATTCTTTTCATAGCTCTGGAGCATAAAGACTAAACAGAAAATTGTCAAATACACAATTATGCATACTCAAAAAATAAACTTGAAGACTAATAGTGGATGTTCCACAACATACAACAGCAAAAATTTATAATTTTATGTTTGTTCTCATAAATCTGAAGAAATGAAATAAGCTGTTACAATTTCATAATAGTTCTTTATTAATATATAGTTTATGAGTTTATATTAGGTAAAATACAATTATGATTAAATGTCAATTCTTAACCACTATATAGAATATATGCAATTTCTTGACTTGTAATTTTACAACATTAACTTGAAACACACCTCTTAAATTTAATAACATATTGTAATTATCCCGTCTTTCATTTTTTGGAGTTTGATAGAAGGCAGTCAATATCCTGAAGGATTTCAGAAGTTTTTTTCAATGCCACTGATACTCTCTTTTCATTAACTTCTAACAGCTTTTCTGAAGAATCAGAAGATGATTCATTTTTCTTGCTTGAAGTGTAGTTTAGGACACCACTATTCTCCAGTAGTACTGAGTTAGTTAAGGAATCTTCCCTCATATTTTTCATTATATAAGTGTTTTTATTTTCTAAAAACCTAGCTTTCATATTAAAATATTATCAATTTTAAGGAAGATGTCTTGGATTTGGAATAGAGTTTGGACTTCAGAATTTATGGAGTCTACCCATAGATGAATATCATTACAGTATAATGGAGCAAGAAAGAATATGTACATAAGTATTTGGATGGAAGAGAGACAGTAGGAAGGAAATAAAAGAATTATAATCTCAGTAACCTCTTTTTCTTGGTTTTTTGAGACAGAATCTCACTATGTAGTTTAGGCTGGCCTTGAACTCATAGTGACCCTCCTTCTGCCTCAAGTCTCTCCAGTGCTGGGATTACAGGCCCAGGTCACCATGCCAGGTTTAACATTGCTTAATGTTCTTCACTTAAACAGAAGTGTTATGAGAATAAAAAGGAACAAGAGTAAGGACGATAAAACTATAAGCAATCTGTGTGGTGTCTTTTAATTTAAAAAAGATGTGGAGTGAAACAAAACCTGTCCCTTTTTACTGAACTACTTTATCATTTGAGTAAGATTTTGGAAAAACCACAAGAAAACAAATTTAGATAAATAGGGTGAGGATGTACAGAACGAAAGGTTTTATAAAGAAAAAGAGATAAGCCTTCACAGATATTTCAGAATAATACATAAGTGAAAGAGTCTTCACAGGAGATCTTAACCCAAGTTCACCATTCTTTGCCAAATTTAAATCCAAAGGAGGACAATACTTTCTCAGGATACAATTAAACTTCTGTATCTTTTCAAGTTCAGAAGCAACAGACCTGTACAAGAAATGAAAGTAAGTTTATGCTAGCTGTCTCATTCTTTTCTATTCACAAACTGGTGTCTGGTTTTTGTTGTTTGGAGACAGGCTCTTGCCAAGTCAAACTTTTTATCCTCTTGCTTGGGTGTCCCAGTGTACAGGGATCACAGGTGCAGGGCGCCACAGCAGGCTTCAAATTTCAAGTAACACTTGACTTTTTTTGTTTAAATAAAGGTTAGGATTTTAAATGAAAGAATACAGAAGTTAAGAATTCTCTTTCTATTTGATTTAATTAGCAACAAATCAACTTGGTTCAACTGATATTTACTGGGAGCTTTTAAAGGTAAATTAATAAAAGTCCCCACGACAAGGACTTTGAAATCAAGTAAGGATATTTGAAGGTAATGGACTTTCCTTAGGTACCTACCTGGCACACCAGCTACTTTCCACCCTAGTTTACTCAGACTTTAAAACCTAATAAAATCCCATCCCTTCTGTGCTTTTACAGAAATGATCTCTCTTTTCTTGAATTTTTGTGGCACTGTTAATTACATGCTTATTTGTAATGTCTTATCTTGAGCTATAGCTTTCTGATACTCATACACTGATTGTGCCATACAACTATACTGTTATGGTTTTTGTCTGTGTGTCCCCCCAAAACCTCCTGCGGCCCACGGGCAGGCTATTAGAATTGAATGATTGTGGGGGTGAGAGCTACACCCACCCTGGGGTGGATAGTTTGCATATGTAAGGGAGAAGAAGAAGCTGCTTGGGGGCATTCCTCCTCCACTCCGCCCTGGTGAGTGCTTGCGGGTTAGTGTGTGCTGCCGCCCTGAGATGCAGCCCTCTGCCACGTGCGACTCTGCTTTATAATCCTGCCAAGTATGGATTAAAACTTCCATGAACTGTAAGCGAAATAAACCTTTCCTTCCTTAATTTTGGGCGTCAGGTATTTTGTCCCAGCAGCGAGAAAAAAGTAACCAAGACATATACTGTATCTTTACTACTGCTACGAAACATGATGACATCTTTCTAAAAACACTAGAAACGTCTTTTCCATAAGGGAAAGCAATTTATATCCTTGATTGGTTCTACTACAATGGATGAGGTGCACCTCTTGTCAACTTGCACTGTTTGTCCCTTGTATTCCAGCCTATGGATGGGGTTATGACTTGTGTCTAGATGTCCCATCAAAGCCTCATGCAGTGGGTGGGGCTTTTTCAGAGGTGACAGAATTTAGAGTGTGTAACTGATTCATGGTGCATTGCTAGGATTAAAGTACTAGGATTAAAGGTGTATGATTATTAAATCAGTACACTGATTGGATTGACAACACCCTATCCGTGTAGCCTAGATAGAATATAAAAGGAGCAGAAAAAAACTGCTAATGTCCATTGCTTGTTTTTGCTGTCTTCTGCCTGCAATGCACTGTTTCTTCTCTGTGATGCCCTCCTGCCATGTGCCAACCTGCCTTGAAGCCAGCCAACTATGGACTGAAATGTCTATGAACTGTAAGCCAAATAAGCCTTTCCTCCTGGGAGTCAGGTATTTCTTCTCAGCAACAAGAGAAAACTAAGACAGATAGTGAATGAAAAAAGACATTTCTCATATTTTTAGCATCCAGGGAAAAGAAATTGGAGATGACTTCCTCTAAATCCTACTAATTCTTTGTCATTGCAAAACACCTTTTAAGTTGCAATCCTCCTACTTCAGCCTCCCAGGTGCGGGGTTCTGTACTCACTGACTAACACTGCTTTTTAAAAATTGAATCAATAAGCTAATAATGGTGAATGAGACGGAGAAGTTAACTGCAGTACAATTTAAGTAGCTGTTTACTGCACAACTTCTTTCAACCTACTCTCTTAAACAAGACAAATCACAGTGGAGACCTGAGTCCTTATCTCACCTCTCTGCTTTTCTTCCTTCCAGTCACAGCAGTGATCACCAATCTGCACTTTCACTACTCAGTATGTCTTGACAGTTGTCCTCTTTGAGCTTTCATGTAAAGAAACTGGCATTTTACAAACCTTACCAGCTGAGCAATATTGATTAGTTTTATAGCCATGTAAAATTTCCCTTTCTTCCCAACTGTTTTTTGTTATCTACTCAAGTAATTTTCCCCAAACAGGCTACAGCTGACGGATGAGACGTTGGAAAGTTGGATCCTTAGATACTTGAGATACTCAATACATATTGATTGGACTTGTAACTTCAGAAAAGGTGATAAGAGGGTTAATTGAACCAAGTTATTTCACTTCCAGATATCTTCTCAAAAGAGTTAAAGAGACTGTATTAAAGTAATACATACATACCCATTTATAGAGGCATAACTCATAATAGCTAAGTCTTGGAAGTGACCTGTATGTCAACAGATGAATGGATATAGGAAATGTGGTACTTATACACAGTGGAGAACTACTCTGCCACAAAGAGAAAATTTGAGTTATTTACAGGAAAATGGCTGCACCTTGAGACAAAACATTAAGTGAAATAAATCAGACACACAAAGCTTAAATATTGCAGTTTCTCTTATATAAGAAACCCAAAGTATAAATAATTTAAAGATCAAAATAAAAGATAGATAATAGGAAACAGGGAAATAGATCTCTTGCAAATGGGTAGGGAACCATGAGATGGGCTGGGGAGGGAGAGGATATAAAAACAAGGCATGTTATGTACATATACCAATTCCCTGTGACAACTGTAATCATTATGTACTGCAAACATGTATAAATAAAAAAATTAAATAATTTTTTAAAAGGAATCAAGCTTTATATATACAAGATAGCTAAGATAATTGTACTACTAATTTCTGTTAATTCACTGGAAGCAACAGTTAGTGCTTATATTGTTTGATCAATCTTACATGCCTATGTCTGGTAATCTGAGCAACTACTTTGAATATAACAATATGCAGTATTATAACCATTGTCAATTTCCTATCATCTTGTTTTAAAATTCTGTATCATTTTTATTGTTTTTTTATGAACTTTAAAGTTAAAAAAAAAAAAAAAAGAATCAAGCTTAATGTTTACTTTTTTAACCACACTGGTAGGTTATCCGGCAAGCAGAAACACCGAAATGACACCTAGGATTTGTAGGCAGATTTATGTTGACAGGCACTGATGGGGATCACCCATCAGGCCCTGATCTCTGGTGATCTAGGGCTTATACTGGCTAAGCAAGCAGGAAGTACAGAGGCAGAATGGCCTGTCAATTGGGGATTGGTTTATAAAATGTGCATCACAGTGACCAGCCATTTCTAAGAGACAGGAGCAACTGGATCTGGAATAGGAACTATTACCTGGGCAACTAACAAACTGAAGTAAACTGGCTGGGGGCCAGGGGTATGTTCTGCTACAAGGTCATCTCACAATTTGCATTAAAAGGTTTCTAAATTTTTCCTGGTATCCTTTCCAATATATTCAGATTATACTGTCAGTAATATTAATCTTTCAAATGAGCCTTCTTCCTGTTGAGTTTTCTTCCTGATTAGATTTGTTCCAGTTAGGAACTTGTATTGCCATCAAGTCTGATGGCATCAAGAATCATTCCTATCCATCAGAACTCATACTATTCCCTAACAGCATCTGTTTCATAAAAATTATCTTTTCACCATCTCCACAGGCTTATTTTTTCAACATATTTCTTTGAAGCTCAGTCCTAGTCCTCTGAACACTGAGAAGTACACAGGAAAGACTACAATACTTGCCTGATCTGTCAACTTGCCAGTAAATGGGTAGGGAAGGGGGGATAATAATAAGACAGAAATTATTTAAAAGGCAATTTCAGAAAGCTTTTGTTAGTCAATGTGATGGTTAATTTTGATTGTCAACTTGATTAAGGCTGAGAAACACCTAGGAAATTAGTAAAGCCACTTCTTGGGTTGTGTATGAGAGTACTTCCAGAGACTACTGATATGTGGGACAGCAAATCAATGGGAAAGAGCTGCCCCGATTGTGGTAGGCATCACCCAGTAGGGTGCAGGCCCAGATGGAACAAAAGCAGGAGAAAGCCAACCAGCCCCAGCTCTCTGGCTCTCTTGCTACCTGTGCTGCCCGGCTCCCATGAAGTGAGCAGCTCTTCTCCACCACACTACACCCTTCCTCTATGATGGTACTGCATGCCTACAGACATAAAAGCAATGGAGCCAGCTAACCATGGAACTGACCTCTGAAACTGTGAGTCAAATAAATCTTTTTATCTTATGTTAGTTTTCCCAGGTATTTTATCACAGCAATGGAAAACTAACACAGTCAACATTTTTTCTTCAATGTTCCAAAATTTTAAGAATCCCCTTTAAATTTTTTGATAAAGTTTTGAATTCATTATACAAACTGTTCATTTTGATATAAAATTTTCAATGCAGTTTTGTGCCCTTCAGATGACATGTGATTAAATATAACAAATTAGGTATTTGATTAGAAATAGGGCCAGGGATATAACTCAGTGGCATAGCGCCTGCCTGGGCAAGGTTGTGAGTTTGATTCCTGGTACCAAAAAAACCCTAGAAATAAATTATTTTCAAGCTTATGGTATTATAAATATAGAAGTAAAATATTTTTAAGCTAAAAGTTTTTTTGGAAAAAAGTTTCAGTTTGCCATTTGAAACTGGAATATTTAAATATTAGTTGACTCTTGTACACAGATTAAAGAAACGTAAATACCAATTTTCTTCAAGAACAGAAGATGAAGGATGTGTGATCATCTCTCTTGGATTTGTCTGAGTGAGTCCTCTGCACCATGATGTTACTACTGTCACATATCTAGAAAGAACACATTAAAAGAAATGTGAAACCAGGCATGGTGGCACATACCTATAATCTCAGCACTCAGGAGGCTAAGGCAGGAGGCTTGCCACAAGTTCAAGGCCAGCCTGGACTATAAAGTGAGTTCAAACCCAGCCTAAACTGCACAGTGAAACACTGTCTCAAAAACACCAAAATAAATAAATAAATAAAAAAGAAACATGAAAATGAACTGTATTCATTCTATAAGTATAATAAAAGTAGAACGGCAATAAGACAATTTGGGAAAAAAAAGATAAAAAAAATTTAAGTGAGGCATTTACTGGGTAATTTTCTTTTTTTTTTTTTTTACTGGGTAATTTTCTAAAACCTTTTCATTAGACACAAAAGACAAGCTTTTTTCATTATTCATCAAGAATACACTGGGAGTGGTGGCGCATGCCTGTAATCTCAGCACTCAGAAGGCTGAGGCAGGAGGATCGCTGCAAGTTCAAGCCCAGCCTGGGCCACAAAGTGAGCTCACAGCCGGCCTGAACTGTACAGCGAGACCCTGTCTCAAAAAGACAAAAGAAAAAAAAATCAAGACTACAATGATTTACTCACATCTGTGATTAATAAAGATGACACTTAAGAGTTAAAAGTGATATTTAGATTTCATTTAAAGATCAAATTCAAATATCTAAATTCTACTTTTAGTTTTTCAAAGTAAAATGAGTTTTCTTAAGTTTTATCATGAAAATGTCATCACACCTCAGACTGTGTGCATTTCTTATTAAATTTAAATCAGAAAACACCCATTAATGTATACACTGTACATACATATATACGTATTTATGATTATATATGACTGCATATATAAAAAAGCATGGAATTTAATGAATTATCTAAAGTAACTAGCTGAAATAAACAGTAATACTTGGTAAAGAAACTATCTTTTTGAGATAAATTATTCAAAATAGCAATTGAATGTTAGAGCATTTAGACCTAAAAGCAATAAAGACCAACATATTCCCAGCACTCAGAAGGCTGAGGCAGCAGGACTGCTAGGAGTTTGAGGCCAGCCTGGGCTACACAGTGAGTTCAAGTCCAGCCTGAACTACATAGTGAGACCTTGTCTCAAGAAAAAAAAAACCAACCAACCAACCAAACAAACAAACAAAAAGCCAACAGAAAAATAAATCCAGGAAGTAAAACAAGCAGTGCTTATGTGAACATCAAGTAAAATTTCAAAAATGTTAAGACTACCACAAGTAGAATTACTACACAGAAAATTACATAAACCAAAAGAGAAGCATATTCATAAAAACTGATTTTAAGCAGCTTTACCCTTTTAAGAATTATCAGCTACTAATTTCATTTGATTTTTATCACTTTCTAGAAATACATATAATTTTAGTTATTTGTGGTTGCAAACCTTACTTAAAATTGTTTAGGGGATCAGGATTAATTAACTGGCTAACATATCTGACCACAGTCCAGTCTCTGTAGGCTGTATCATATGTGATCATGTCTGTATCACATATCAGTTTGAATACAAGGAAATGTTTAAAGCTGACCTGACTTATTTAATTGTGCTAAACACCAGTAGAACTGAAAACTTTGGACCCTGATCAAATTACTTCATTCACATTATCCACACGGAAAAAATTAAAATATGTAACATTTAAATAATGTTTATAATGCCGCTTCTGTCAAAATATGAAACATTTTCTGGTGGCCAGAGCTGAGATCAAACCCATAGCTGTGCATGCTAGGCATGCACCATACCATATAAACAACGTTAAAAAGAATTGCTTTTTAGTACCTTTCATATGGTCCAGGATGTTCAATTTGAATTAAATGATCTTGTCCATCAGGAAAGGTTAACCTACACCAACCTAGGCTGAGACCTTGATTTACCTTAGGAAGAAAGGAGGGAAGGTAAGTTTTATCATGCCAACACTGAAAACAAAAACAATCAACCTTTTTTGACTTACCAATTTAAAAAGTGGATGATTCATTAAAAAGTTATTTTGATATGGCTATTAATTAACTACCACTCATATAGGTAATTGTCAAAGAAAATAAAAATGCCCATCTTACTACAGTAAGTTATCTTTATACAAATGACTATTTGTCACATTGTTCTGATTTTTGATGGGAAATCCAATGAAATCAGTAAAGCCACTTGACAGATTTTATACTTGAAAAATAATTTGAGATATTGTGGTACTTTATTGTCTTCGTTGTTTTCCACAGAAAAATAACCAACAAAAATGTATTTCTGACCACAGATAAGAGGCTACAGTTACAGATAATGTACTGTACATTTCCAAAAAAACCTGAAGATAGGATTTTGAATATTTTCAGCACAAACATGATGTTTGAGAAGATAGGTGTATGTATCCTAATATGAACATTACAATATATACTGTGCCAAAACATCACATGGTACTCCATATAATTTTTGTGTCAGTTAAAAAATGATCCAATAAACCTTACTACACATAAAAAATAGATTTCATTCTGAAGTATACTAACCTGTCTTTTTTCAACAGAAGAGCTGAAATTCCAGTTCAAAGTTAAAGTGGTGCCATCTAAAAAGATAGCATGTATTTTGTTATCAGAGTAGGCAAGAAATCTTCCCACATTGGATATGAGTGACTCTTTCAAAAGTAAAGGCAGTATATTGCTGTCCTTTATCCCAGGTAGCTAAAACCAAATAAATAAAATTAACAAGAAATAAAGTTGTCTATTAACAAAAATTTAAATTAATCTTAATAAATTCAGAGGCAACTTCAGATTCTTATCCAGTTTAGTATTGCAGAATTCTTTTTTTTTTTTTTTTCTGGTTTTCGTCTGGTACCAGGAATCAAACTCACGACCTTGCACTTGCCAGGCAGACACATGCCACTGAGCTAAATCCCCAGCCCCTGTTATAGAATTCTTAGGTTTAACTTTTTCAGAAATGGATAACAAGACAGTATTTTATAAGCAGATTAAGTATTAATGTTTATAAAGCTAATGTTTAACTTTGAACATTACATAAAAAGTAGGTAAAAATTAGACATACTTTAAATCTAATGAATTCTGTTTTCCCCTCCATTGAAAATTAAATAGATGGGGATGGAGATTTAGCTCAGCGGCACAGCACTTGCCTGGCAAGCGCAAGGTCAGGAGTTCGATTCCTGGTACCGGGAAAAAAAACCAAAAAAAAAAAAGAAAATTAAATACAATGGGCTGGGAGAGCTCAGCATTTGAGAGGTTCTGGGTTCACTTACTAGCACAGGAGTACAGATATATATACAATGAGGAAAACTATGTGCAACCAAAGCATAACATGAAGAGAGGACCACTGTAAGCAATAAAAGCGCAACATAAGGGAAGGGGAGGGAAGGAGAGGGGACAGGGAAGGGAAAGTGTGAACATGAAGGCCTTATTTTTCATTGTCTGTCTATTAGGTGAATATTATTCTGAATAAACCAATATTAATGTTACAGACGTTCTTGTATCACTTAGATGAAAGCAATTTTAACTCAGCAATATGCACACAAATAAAACAATTTTCAAAATTTTGCTTTTGAAAAAATTTTAATATACCATTTTCCAGCAGCATATACGATAGTTATGGCTTAGAGAAAGCTTCATCTTGGCACAATGTTGAAGAATTCTGTTAACATGAAAGCACTCATTAAACATTTGCAAATAACATATCCCAATGCCGGTAATCTGTGCTCAACGCTGTGTAACATTTTATGTGGCAAGTCACTCATTTCCACTGAGATCGACTGGAAACCTTGGGAACCCTTTTCTTCCAAGACTCCGCAAGCCTCTGACGGGAACTACTTTTGTTTCCCTCTGTGCTAATCTCAGCTAGGGAAAGCTATTCTTCTAACCTTTGACAATGAAACGACTCCAGAGAGAGAATTTCCAAGTGCTTTTTAGACTGGGGATTGAGTCCACAGCCTTCACACTGACTACATTCCCATCCTTCTTTTTAATTTCTTGAGACCAAGTCTCACTAAACTGTGAAGCTGCCTAGGGTTGACTAGAATTTGAGATCCTCCTATCTCAGCCTTGCAGAGATAGGAGGGATTATAGGCATGTGCCATTGCACTCAGCTACTATCAATTCCTAATCCTATCCTGAACTACAAGAAAATGCATCAAGTTTTTCAGGTATATACTATTTGGTTCAGCTGAATGTGAAGAGATTACCTGGTTGCCTGCTTAATCAGAGAACATACAGAGAACAGACCTCCTGGTCTATCTGGAGGAAGGTTATTCACTGAATAAGTTTTCTCTTCTCTCTGAAAATTAGTTTAAAATGAAAAATCTCATTAGTAATAAATTTTGGTCCTGATTAACTTTTTTGTTAAAATATGTATTTACATAATGACAAGGTAAGAGTTACTATAACAATCTAAAGCCCATAAAACTTGTGTATTTTAATGATATTTCACTATCCCTTCCCACCGTCCTATCAATTTAACGTATCGAATGCTATACACACTGAAAAGTTACCTTCTAGTAGCTTGTAACTTATTGTCCAATTTAAATCTTGCTTATACTTCAACTATATGGCAACCAAACTAATTTTCACAAATTAGCAGGAAATTTATCACATAAGCCACCTGCTTTCCTTTAAAAAAAGCTACAAAGGTTTAAAAGTCACTATTTTAAATGAATATATACATACATATATTCATTTAAATCATTTTGTTACATTTTATTAAGAGAACAACTATTGCTATACTTTGTGAAAGACAGTATTATTTACAGGCTCAGGTTTGTGAATGTTTTTTTAAATGTTATTTTGTTGTTCTTTCTAAATTTGTTCTTTCTCAGACCTGTTAGGGTTTCCCAGGACTCTGTCTCTAGTCTTTTCTTCTGACTTCCTGATTTCTTCTTTAGGTAATCCTAGAAGGTCCAAAGCTGTGTTCACAATAAATACATAACAGCAACAGCTAACATGTATGGAGTGTGCAACAGGTACTATGCCATGTACTTTATGGATTATTCCATTTAATCCTCAAAATAATTCTGAAGTGAGACCTGTTCACACCTGTTTCTAGATAAGGAAACTGCAGACAAGAGGTAGTACAGATCTGATTCTAACCATAGAGGTAAAGGAGATGGGCTTTACCCATCAGGGAAAGAAGATGGGCTTCAAAATCAGATAGAACCAGATGCATGCTGTAAGTTTGATTCTTACTAACTGCAATAGTGTGAAGTTTTGCAAACTTTTTAAAGCAGAATTTCTGATCAGTTTTACTTGATGTTATCGAATTGTCCTCTAAGAAGGCTGAAGCAATTTGCCCTTCAACCGACACTATGAAAGCAGTAGATATTATCTTTTTAAATTTTTGATAATTTTAATAGGTGAAAACTATTATGTCAATTATTATTTTATTTGCATTTCCCTGATGCAAGTAGTAAAGCTAAACATTATAAGACGGTCAAATATTATAGGATTTTGAAAATTTTATATTGCCTCTTTATATCCTTCACTCCTTTTACTATTAGAGATTTTTTTGGGGGGTGGGTCTTTATTACTGATTTAGTATGAAACATTTTCTTCTAGACCTTTGTCTGCCTTTTTTATTTGAATTTGACAGAAGCTTTAAATGTTCCTTTCTTTCTTTTTTTTTTTTTTCCTTTGGTCTTTTTGAGACAGGGTCTCGCTATGCAGTTCAGGCGGGCCTTGAGCTCACTTTGTAGCCCAGGTTGGTCTCGAACTCGCACCAATCCTCCTGCCTCAGCCTCCCAGAGTGCTGGGATTACAGGCGTGTGCCAGGCAGAAGCTTTAAATATTTAAAACTTAACAAAAACTTGAAAATTTCAAGCTTGTCTAACCTTAAGCTGTTTTTCTTTATTGTTCTTAAGAAGGCTTCCCTTGACCAAAGACATATTTCTTCTTCTTCTCCTTTTCTTCCTCCCACTCCTTTTCCTCCCTCTCCCTCTCCCCCTTCTCTTCCTCCTTCTTCTCCTCCTCCCTCCTCCTCTTTTTTTTGAAACAGGGTCTCACTATGTAGCCCAGGCTGGCCTCAAACTCATGGCAATCCTCTTGCCTCAACCTCCCAAGTGCTGAGGTTACAGATGTGTGTCACCATGCACAGCTATATTTTCTTCTAACAATTATAAAGTTTGGTTTCTTACATTTAATTATTTAATGCAGCTGGAATTGATTTTGGCATATAGGCTAAAGAAGCAAATTTATCCCAAAAAGTCAATTGTTTCTAAATCTTTTCACCAAAGCAGACGGAAAAAAGTGAAAAAGTGTTGGACCCACAGGTCTAACAATGAAGCCTAAAGCAGTCAAGCAGTTGGTAGGAAGTCTTGTGTTTTATCCCAAAAGTTCATGCTTCTACTCCATACATTTGCCTCCATATAAAAATTATCACTCCCTCCTGAAAGCGCTGAGCAATACTGAAGCTCCATGAAGATGTACTACATTTATCTTGCCACTGTGCAAACTCCCTTATATACAGCAGTCAGCAGTGTGACTTGAATACCCACCCTGTGTGCTTGTCTCCTGCACTACATGCACTCACACACTTACATACATTACTTGGTCACAAACTTATTTTCTTGTTTGACTGCTCACTAGACTGTGAACTCTTTGAGGGCAGGAATTTTTCATTTTCAGCATTCCCACTACTTGTCAGAATGCCTGCTGAAGAGTAAGTGTTCAATTAATGCTTCATAAATGAATGAACATTTTCCTAGAAATACATTTCAACAGGGGATCTGCTCCAATACATACTGAAATATTTATGAGTAAAATTTGGGATTTACTTAAAAATAAATAGGGAGTGGAAGAGGCAAGGGGAAGTACAAGTGGGTAATGGATACCTAGGGATCCGTTACATTTGTCTTTCTACTTTTGCATGATGGAAATTTTCCCTAGTTTAAAAACAAGGTCACTCCATTTTAAATTCTTCTCCCAGTGATGCTATAATCTTATTACTTAAGTACTCCAGTCTGCAATGCAGGGAGAACACATTTATTCTGTTCTAACCTACAAAGCAAAGTAGTGTGATATTATGGCAATTGCTATAAAAGCAGGGACATCAAATGTCAAAGTAGTAGTAAACAACTTAAATCTTATTAGTATTATCACTGCATGCTGGTAAATGTAACATGTGTTAGTGTTTTGAACAACAGAGTTATATACAGTATATAAAGAGGTACTTAAAATATACAATTATATGGTAGGAGACAATGTGCTTCTGAATGTGCAAATATTAATCCAAAGTTGTATATTGACTCAAAGTAATGCTTCTGGTTTTGGATTTTTATATTAATGCATTCTATGAAAAAAAAAATGTAGCTTCTGATTTAAACATGAATTGCTTAGGCTAACAGATAACAGTGGAATACAGTAAGTTTCAATGTTTAATAATTAACTAGATGCCAATACTAAAAGATGACATTAATTCTCCAAACAAGAGAGCAGGAAGCAATGTTATATAAAGAGCAAATTCCCCATATATATCTGAATTTAAAAAGAATTTAGAAGACTCTTCTTGAGTTGGGATCTCATAGTTGGCTTACCTCTTCTGTTCCTTCTCGATAGGAATAATATGTAAAATAGTTCCCCAAATAAGCTCCTTCTGATTTTAAAACAGATCCGTCTCCAGGATAAATCTCTATTGAGTTCACATTTTTATGGGTAAGCCTAAGGAGAAGACATAACTTTTTTGTAAAGGATAAACAGAACACAGAGCAGTAGTTTGTGTTTTTATTTTAACAACTAAGCTCAGAGTTTCTGGAAATCAGGTATCTTATCACCCTCTTAGATGTTAACCTCACTGGTAACCCCGCTGCTAGTCACAGGGGCTGGCACATAAACAGTCCCCAAAGCTATGTCTATTGCATTTGTATTGCAACACTTGTCTATTGCATTTAAGTTAAACACAACACATAACCAGTATCTGATGGATGAGATAATCACTGTGCAAGGTGGTAGCACCAAAAGCAGGTGATCAGTTATACCTGGAGTAGCCAGCTACAACGAAGGTATTGTGTATATGTGTAAAAACTGAAGTCACATTAACTTTATTGGAATATATATGAAGACTATGTTGTCAGAAAGGGATGAGTTTTCATGCAGGAAAGAGAGAGCAGAGCCTCTCTCCAGCAAAACAAAAAAATCTCAGCAGTGTTCTTGCAGCATTATTCATGTAAGTGAAATTCTCAATCCACCAATACCACTGCAGTCACTAGAGATACACACACTGTATTTATGGAGTAGTGCTGGCCCAGAGAACCCATTCAATGACTATCTGCTTTGAACGAAAGCTAAAAATCTTCCTTAGGGTACTGGATATCTTCTCTACTTCTATACTCAATAGATGAGATAGATCAGTAAATCTGGTGATGTGACTAATTCAAACAAGTAGTTCTTTTGACACATAACTGATACGAATATTATATTCACTAGCAACATTGACCCTCCACTGGCTTTAGAATTGCAACTTAAGTCTTATAAAGATGGTTAATGTGAGTCACAAGACCTCTGTGCACAGTAATAATATTAGTTTTGAGACCTATAAGATTCAAGATGAAACACAGGAGCACAGCTGACAAGAGCAAAACCGTGTCCTCTTTTGAGAGTCTTTCTGTAGGGCTAGTCCCAGCCCTTCTCCAATACAGGTGCCCTTACCTATATGTAACACCCTTATACCAAACCACTTTCACTAGTTCAGGATAAGAATATTCTTCTTCATCAGATGGTGTCTGTAAAAGAGTATCACAAAACTTCCACCTGTGAAGGACAAAATGCAGGCTATTAATTGCAGCTGCTCAGAATAATTGCCTTTATAAAAGCCAACAAAATAGTACCACTATAACATGTATTTCTTGCTTAACTCATTATATCACAGAAAAATAAAATACAGAAGTACATGAGTAACCAGGCAAGGTAGTGCACACCTGTAATCATAGGAGACAGAGGCAGGAATGCTGCGTGTTCAAGGCAAGCCTGAACTACATAACAAGACCCTGTCTCAAAACAAAACAAAAATCAAAATGTATAAATGAATTTTAAAACAAGAGGTAACCAGTTAGACTTGGAGTAGACAAGTACTTTTTTCAGTATTTCAGTATTTCAGTCTCATTGTTGGGTTCCAGCACAATTACATAAACTGTTTTACTAATCTTTAAAATACAGCCTGAATTAAAACAAATACTAACTGAAATATTCATAGTGTGCTAGCACTGGATACACACACTGAGGATATAACACTCAAAAGCAGGCATGGCTCTTGCCCTCAGTGGAGATTCCTACTTGACATGCATGTTAAATAGTACCCATTGACTGTAAAGGGGAGGTACTGAATGCTGTGGACTTATATAAATACCTAATTTTCCCACGCTCTTTCAGAAAACTACTCTAAAGTGAGGCTTCAGCTGAGACCTAGAAATGAGCCAGATTAGCCAGTTTAGAGATATCAAGGGAGAATGCTCCTGAAAACCAAAAAACAGATGCATTGGTGAAAAAGCCTGAGGCAGCATTTTAAGGACTGCAAGACATCCAGTTTAAGAAGAATTGAGAAACAAGGACAAGAGCAATGACAGTTGTTCACAGACCTAGGAAGTGACCAGATCATGGCAGATGTGTTAAACTACATTAAGGGCAGTGAGTTTCAACCTAAAGCCGGTGACAAGTTATTGATTTAGAAGCATGAAATCTCTGTTAAAAGATGGGTAATGGGAAACAGGGAGGTAGAGCCTTTGCAAATGGAAGGGGACCAAGAGATGGAGGAAGTGGGGAGGGCAAGGCAAAGGAGGGGACATAAAACGAACTGAGGTGTGTTGAGTACCTGTACCAACCCCCCACGATGAATGTGATCACTATGGCAAACATGTAACTATATTTAATTTAATAAAAATTATATTTTTTAAAAAATAGAGGCATGAAATTTCTTTTGCCACATACTCATAATCCTGCATTTTCCAAGTTTAAGTACAGTAGATAACCATGATAAGCCTGAAAAATCGTTCTCATATTTTGTTCTAAAATACAAATGTGTACTTAGAGACTATCTGGGTTGGAATTTCAACTGCACAAGTCTCGTATGTAACTGTGCTCAAGTTACTAACATTTGTGCCAGGCATGGTGGAGCATGCCTGTAATCCCAGTACTCTGGGAGGGTGAAGTAGGAGGATCAGACCATAAATTCAAGCCCAGCCCAGGCAACTAGTGACTCAGCAAGACCCTGTCTCAAAGAAATAAAAAAGGGTGGGAATATAGCTCAATGCAAAGACCCTGGCTTCAGGATCAACCAAAGTACAACCAAAAAAATCAAGTTATTAACATTTCTGGGTCTCAAATTCCTCTATAAAAAAAGAAGATAATAATACTTCATGAGGTTACTATGAGATCAACTAGGTCAATTACAACAGTATCTGTCATGTAAATAGTTTCGCTTAGCTAGTATTCCTGCAATATTTATACAAAGCTCATGTTACAAGTCTATAACTATTAAATTATTCATCTCTTAATGGAGGTATAAGGTTTAGCCACTGAGAGCCTTGACCTGTTTACACTTTTTGAAAAATGGACATATTTAGTCAGTAAACCAACCTCTGAGGACAGGTATGAAAGAAAGAATTCATGATTATAACTTTGTCAAACCCGTGCCCCTGAAATGCAGGTCACCATGTCCACTGAGCAGCAGCAGATGCTCCTTCTGGCTTTTTCCCAGAAAGCCACTTCTGTCCAATCCCTCAGCACACATACAGACAGTGGCCTTCACTGGACTCTACATTGCTAGAAGGCAGTGACAGTGCTTAACAAGCATCTAGTGTGAAGTTAGCTTCTCCAAAACATTCAATGCATGGAAAGAGAGTAAGAAACAAGTGATATCTTTACTAGGGAGATTACTCACTACTTGTTTAAAGCAAAGATTTGGGTGAGTTAAGTGAATCTTCCTTATGAATTGTGTCAGATGATTTAGAAAAAAAAATATGCTGAGGTCAGACCGGTCCTTACAAAAACTTGATGACCAATAATCCATTCTTCTATTACCTGTGCAGGTGTGGGTAAGGACAGCTAAGTAACAGGGCCTTTGGAAGGACAGAAACCTCTTTTCTTCTTTCCTCTGAAACATGAGAAGTTAAAACTCTACTTGTGGTGATATCTGGATCAATTTTAGGCACACCATTAACTTTACTATGCAAACGAAGTGCTAAAGACAAAGGGTATTTCCACTCCTCTGGACAGCAGGCCACAGACCAGCACTGCTTTACCCACGTGTACACACAGGTGTGATTTGTACCAGACAAAGGGGGCTCTGCTCTCCCCTCAGTTTCATTTGCACAACTCGTCTTCTCTAAAGGTTCTTTGGATTTCAAGATCTGGCAAAAAAGTTCATTTTCTTTATTCTTTAGTCTTTGGCCTGATAAACTTCCAGAGATTTTGCTGGCTTTTTCAACTGGTTTATCTTTTGGAGCTTGTTTGTTTATTTCTGACAATACTCTTGGCTTCTGGCTAATTTTACACAAAAAATGTACTGTAAACTCATGCTGAGATTTGGGCAGGCAAAGGTATGCGTGACCATCTACAGATGTTATCTTCACGGTGCCATGCTCCATACTTATCATACTGTCATCTGCTTCATGGCTGGGCCATCTCACTTCTGAGGTATCAACGAAGATACGCTGAATTGCAGAAGGAAAAAGACACAGTGAGTAAGACAGTCCAATTTCTCCATACTTTGGATAGTTAAGCATTGTGTTTTTGCTCCCTAAAGAGAATAAAAAAGGGAGCTTATAAATAGCTTTCCAGAGAATATTTGATAATATAATCTCTCTTAGAAAGAGAGATTTAAAACACACAAAATGAAAGAAATAAAAAGAACACATGATGATATTTAGTACCTAACATATTTTGGTTTAGAACGTACCATGAATTACAAATAAACAGGGTTTGCACACTCCTCACACTAAAAATGTACTCTGAAAGAAAACAGAAACAAGGGAGGACCTGCATGGCAATATACTCTATTAAAAGCATTCAGAGCTTAAATGATACAAGACCAGCATAGGACTCCATTATATCTTTTTTTTTTTTTTTTTTTTTTTTTTTTTTGAGACAGTGTCTCACTCTGCAGTTCAGGCTGGCCTCAAACTCACTTTGTACCCTAGGCTGGCCTCAAACTTGCAGTGAACCTCCTGCATCAGCCTCCCGTATGTTAGGATTACAGGCATGCACCACCATGACCAGCAGACTCCATTATATCTTAAAACATTATATAGGATAACATATTTTTCAAAGCAAGGGGGAAAAGAGAATGATTTTATTTCTTCCCTCGCTCTCTTTTTCTCAGTACTACGGATTGAACCTAGGGCTGGCACTCACTACTAGGCAAAAATTCTACTACTGAGCTACACCCCAGCCCAAGAGGATTATTTAGTAAACGGTACTGAAGTTATTGAACAGCCTTTAGGAAATACTACCTTGAAGGGTTATCACATGGACTAAAAAAATAACATATATAAAATACCCATCCTAGATAGCACTTGAGATACCATAAACTAAAATAAATCCCAGGTGGCTTAAAGGACAATTTTATTTTTATTTTATTTATTTATTTTTTTTCCCCGGTACCGAGAATCGAACTCGCGACCTTGCGCTTGCTAGGCAGGCGCTGTGCCGCTGAGCTAAATCCCCAGCCCCCAAGGACAATTTTAAAAAGATGAAAATATTCAAAGGTAAAACATCAAACAAACTCATAACAAGTAACATCACCAGCTGTGTTTTTTATGTAAGATATAAACAGTAATGTTTGCTAGTAGTATTTTAGTCAATATTTTAACATTTCAATTTCCATAATCTTAATTTTAGTGGGTGTAGCGGTGTATGCTTATAATCCCACCATTCTGGGAGGCTCAGGCAGTAGGATCACAAGTTCAAGTCCACCCTGAGCAATTTAGAAAGACCTCCTTTCAAACAAACAAACAACAACAAAAAATGAGGCAGGGGATTGGCTGGAGATATTGCTCAGGGTAAAGGCCCTGGGTTCACACATTGTTACTAGTGTGAGAAACCAAAAATGTAAACAAGGACCAAAATGAGTAATAGATATTATAAAATAGGAAGAAAATGTTCCAATGGGAAGGGGAACTAGGGATGGGGGAGGTGGAAAGGAAGGAAAGGAAAAGAAAAAAAATGATGAGAAAAGAAAGAAAAAATAGAAACAACACTTTTGTAAATAAGAAGGGGAAGAGGGGTTGAAGGGAAGGTTAGAGGGATGGGGGGAAAAAAAGGAAACAAATTATATCATATACAGGTACAATTTCCCTATGATGAATGCGATCATTATGTATATCTAAAACATACCAATTTAACTAATTTAAATTTAGTTAACTAATTTAACTTAACTAAATTTAACAATTTAACTTAACTAATTTAAAAAAAAAAGGCTGTGGGTTCAATCTCTAGGACTGTAAAAAAAAAAAAATTTAATTTTAAAAATAAACTAAACAATAAGGCCTTAATTTTGTAGCACCAAAAGCAAGCTATACAATTTCAATTAATAATGTTACTTAAAAGCCACAATGGAAAAAAATCCCACCAGGTTAGGTTATATCTTACAACTTCTTATTACTCCTTTGTCACAATATAATAGACTATTATTCAGGAGGCAAGCAAGCACTGTGGCAGCATTGGAAAAGAAGCAAGCAATAATTAAAAGACATAATTGAACCAGGGATGTGGCTCAAAGGTAGCACACTGCCTACCATGTGTCAGGCCCTGGGTTAGATCTCCAGTACAAAAAAAAGAAAAGAAAAATTCAGATTTATATAGACAGGGCTCAAATTCTAACTTTGCTATTTAGAAAATTTCCATAGGCCAGTCAGGTATATTCTCTGAGACAGTTTCCTCACCTATAAAAAAGGGTTGATATCCACCCAATATACCAGTTTTGGTAGGTTGGACATTCATTCTGACAGCAGGTAGCCTTCCATACTGTAACACCAATATTTTCAATGTGATCTTAGTGTTTGGCACATAGTAAACTCTCAATAAATGACAGTTAACATTATTATTCCTCAATGCAAAATAAAATTTAAGCTAAAGAATAAAATTTTTAGACCTATAATTACATATTCCTACTATAAAATATAACTAAATAAGTTATGAAAGCACTTAAAGGTTTCTTAATTTTGAGATTTCTGAGAATGAAAAAGTCACCAATCTGAAAAGTAATAATACTTGGCTATAAAGAAAATGGCAGGGATATGGACTATGTAACTTCCACGGCCTTAGGTGAAATATATAGGTCTATACCCTCTACACCATGTGTCTTTTCCCGAGTATCCATGTGGTGGGGGTCAGGGGAGACTAAATGTTAAACTATATATTTATAATTACCTATTCTCAATATTACTTACAAAAATGAAGCTTTAAAAACTTACCTTTTTTCTTTCAGAAGGTATGATGCTTTCAGATAAAAATGGGCAAGTAGCTGAAGAGTTTCGAAAATCTAGTGCATGCTGAAGTTGCTTCTATAAAAAGAAATGTAAAATGTCACCTTAAAAATATAAAATGATTTGGGGCCGGGGATATAGCTAAGTGGCACAAGCACCTGCCTGGCAAGGGAAAGGTCCTGAGTTTTTCAGTACCAAAAAAAAAAAAAAAATTGAAAATCACATAGAATGACAGTAATCCAGAATGCAAATTACTTTTCATATTCTAGCCCCTGTGGACAATATTTAGTATTCAAAAAGTAGTTTGTGTGACATTACTTACTCGGTAATTGCTGATAACGAAATGTGTCCTTTGACGAATTCTTTCTGGTTGTTTTAAAGGATGTGCTGAAAGAGGAGGCGACTTTTCAAATAAAAATTCAGAGCCACAGGGAGAGAGCTGCAGTTTGGAACCGTCAACATACTGTACTTGCACTGAATCATCTGCATAAAGTACCATGCGCACTTCAGCTGCCATTACAGAAGGGTACAATTATGTCCTCCCAAGGTAAAGACTGAAGGAAATGAAAAATACAATGGTACAAACAGTTCTTTTAACACACAAAAGTCCTGTCAAAATAAATGGGAGCATTTTCTAATGACATTAAGTAAAAACATACTGCCACTGTATGTACTTATATTGGAGGAAAAGTAACCTCGCTATAAATACTTAAAGGATCTAAAATGATCATTTTTAACAAAATGCCTTATTTAACCCTAGCACTTTATTCTAATGTAGGAACACAGCCTGGAAGGAGAAGACAGCTCACAAACTTATAGCTGTCTATAATTTTTGTAGCTTTACTACTTTTGAACTTTCAGTTTTGTAAATTATATGCTGAGGATCTCATTTCAAATAACAAGCAAATTACACTATTATAATACAAATGCAGCAAAACATCTGTAATAAATACACGCAAAAGGCAAGCCAAAGTTAATTATTGGGGCTAAGAGAAGAGATCACTGAAAAATCCAAACACCTAGATTCTTGTCCCTAGCGTGGATTAAGGAAGTAGGTGCATGTCATTACTGAAGAGTTTAATTAATCGCCAAGTGTCTTAGATTCCTCATCTCCTGTATTTAATTTGACTCTATCTTCACGTATGCTCTTCATACAAGAGTAGGAGAAGTAGAGAGCTGAGCTTCACTCACTCTACCACTTACTAGCCAGGACCTTGCGATGCTTCTACATTAATAAACAGGGGTAGCAGCAGGACTGCTGAGAAAATACATACAAATGCCCAGCACTGCGAATGTCATGAAAGTCACCTCGTAAGGGCTCAATAAAGATTATGAAATGTTTTCGTTCCTTCCTAAAACTAATCCCACTTCTTCTATATTATCTCCTTTTACTATCCAGCTGATCAAATTGCACCTGTAAAAAAAATAACTTTCCACAGATAACACTTCCCCAGTTTACCTCATTTCCTACTGATAAACCTCTGGAGTAGTAAAACTTTCACTGTCTGCTTTTTCTATCAATTTTCAATCCACTGCAATCAGCTTTCTTGTTTACTTCTCTACTGACATTATTTCACAGAGGCCACCAATGTCTTCTGAATCCTACTAGGCCTGGTCAACCTGTGACCACATTATCTACTTTTCCCCGCATGCCAACTCTCTGTCCCCACCCAATGCCCATTTCCCATTTTGGGCTGCTAAAGATTTCTTCTGTCTACTTGTTTTTTATCTTTCACTTAATTACCTTAAATTAGGGATTCTTCAAGACCTGATCTTAGTCTCCATTTCATCTCTTCTTATTGTAAACACTCATGTTACTGTTAGGCCTCACCTTGTTTCTTTTAATCTCCCCCCTTTCAGTGCATGTAATCAGCTGTATGTGATATGGCCTATAGTCTTTTGTGGAACGTCTGGATATAAGTAAATAATCATATGGTCTCTCCTAAGGAGACTCACATAATTTTATTTTCTTTCTTTAGAGACCTCTAAATCTACCTGACCTCTTTTCAGAACATTCAGTATCCTGACTCCTAGCCTGCTAGGTTTCTTTTCATGTCCCTGTTCCACAGGTAAATCAAATCCACTACGACTAAAATGGAACTTAAACTACCCCCACCAAAAGCAGACTTCTGTACCTTCTAATTTCACTTTCACTTTTTGTTTTGTTCTGTTGTTGTGTCTTTTTTGAGACAGGGTTTCACAATGCAGTTTTGGCTGACCTTGAACTCACTTTGTTGTCCAGGCTGGCAATGATCCTCCTGCCTTAGCCTCCTGAGTTCTGGGATCACAGGCGTGTGACACCACACTCAGCTTCACTTTCTCACTCTTCTCTCTTCCCTCAAAAATCCAATCTAAATACCAATCTAATCCAATCTAAATAGTCAAAGAGATCTTTAAAAATAAAAACCAGATCTATTACTCCTTGCCTTAAAACCCACCAATACCTTCCATTTGCACTTAGAATAAAATCCAAACTCCTAATCATAGCCTTACATAGGTCATACAATCTAGCCATATCTATATGTACACATCATCTCTCAACTCCGTTCCCTTCCCCTTGTTCAGGACCTTTTATTCACTCTGGCATTTTAAATGTCCTTTAAACAAGTTCTCATCTCAATCTTTGTACCATTCTTTCTGCCTAGTTTGTCCTTTCCTGAACTTATCATATCACTTTTCTTTATCATTATGAGGGTCTCAAAAGGCCTGGCTGGACCACCAAGTTAAAAGTTGCTCCCAATCATCTAATCATTTATTCTATTTCATCTTTTTCTTCATAGAATTGATCACTATTGGCCGGCGTGGTGGCACACACCTGTAATCCCAGCACTCGGGAGGCTGAGGCAGGAGGATCCTTGCGAGTTCAAGACCAGCCTGGGCCACAAACTGAGCTCAAGGCCAGCCTGAACTGCAGAATGAGACCCTGTCTCAAAAAAAGACCAAAAAAAAAAAAAAAAAAAGAGAAAGAAACAAAAAACAAACAAAAAAAGAATTGATCACTATTAAATCTTTACTTGCTTTTTGTCTTTTTGGATTAATGTACGCAACTTCAGTGCAAAAAAACTTATTCCCTGTAACTTAAGTATGTGTATATATTTAAATATATAATCTATATAAATATATGAACGCTGGGAATGGTGGCACACACCTGTAATCCTAGCATTCAGGAGGCTGAGGCAGGAGGATCACTGCGAGTTCAAGACTAGCCTGGGCTACAAAGTGAGCTCAAGGCCAGCCTGAACTGCATAGTGAGACCCTGTCTCAAAAAGACAAAAAAATCAAAAACGTATGATATGTATATACATACTTAATATTTTATTATGTACAGTTAATTCCACTGTTTTGACTCAACAGCAGGGACCTTATCTGTCTTATATATGTATCTCTGGGATCTAAAAATAGTACTAGGCAATAAGTATTCATTCAATGATCAAAAAATAAATGAATAAATTTTAAAATTCTAGCTTCTCTTGCATTCACAATTAGAAATAGTGGAATCGCAATGTTAGTAGTCAATGATAGCAATATGTATTTAAGTTCTCAGTGTTTCCTCCATTTCCATGTAACAAATCTTGTTAATTTTGTAAGTTTCTCTTCAACTTGGCTGTCTTTATCCCTTTTTTCCTTACTCTCCTATCAAATCTTGCAACTGTCTAGGTTACTTCTCCAGTTTCTTCTCTCTCTGATGCATCTCTAGTACTGCTGCACAGGTAACTTTCCACAAGTCATACTATACCAACTGCTTTACATCACTTACTTAAGTACTTGTTAAATGGCACTAAATAATCATAGAAATAAACGATAATATATTTCTGTTACACACAAACATATTTCAGACCCGTCTACCCGGTATTTCAAGAAAAAAAATGGATGCCTCTATATACGTGAAAAATTCCTTATTTTCTGATTCCAAATTGGGAAAACGTCTCTACCTTAGTCTTAGTTTTTTTTGCTTTTGTTTTAAAAATAGCTTTACCATAAGTATAACTGGTATGTTTTAATCGATAATAATTTTAAGTAATCAGGCATACACAGGAATTAGGGCGGTACCTAAAGTTCCTGGCATATCAACGAAAATCATACAGCCCCAACCCTCACTCCCAGCTTCATCTCCCCTGCCTTGTATCTTATCTGTGTTCTCAACACCCAGGACGTTTGTTTGGTCAGCGTGTTAGCCACAAATTTTCCTCTTGACACTGGTGGGAAACTCACTTTTCAAAACACGGTACCTGGTTACAGAAAGGGCTCATCCAAACAACTAAAGGTCTTTCGCTCACGCAGCAGTTGCGCTACGAAGTTGCGGAGGAGGCCAATCAATGGCCTCTGAGTTTTAGTCCCGCAAAGTGCTGGAAACCGTGGCGTCCGCGCCTTTCCACGACTGCTTCTCCAGGGTTATTTTCTGAATTTGACAAATTACCAACAGTTACGTTTCCCGATGATGGAACAAAATCACAACCGCAGAGAAACAGGGCCACAGGAAGAATGTTTCGGCTGAGAGGCTGGCCCAGTCTGGACAGAACAGCACCACGTACAGCGGCGCCCAATGAGAGAAAACAAAAGAAGCAGTTCAAACCTCCCCGCCCTGGCGAGAGGCTTCGCGTCTCCGGAAACAAGCAAGCCGGAAGTCCCGCCCCTCTACCCCGGGCCGAGCTCCGCTCGCGTCGCTGCAAAGAGCATGTGGGAAAGCTGGAGGAGAGGACCGGATGAGAATGTGTCGGCACCGGTCTGCCTTTACTTCCGGTACCCACTGGGAAGCGCTGGGATCTGGTAACTAACTTGTTGTGACCAGCCTTGTAACAGTCCAGCCAAGAAAGACAGGAATGGATTAAATAACCTACACAATTACACTTCAGTAACGCTGTTTAAAGAACAGGTAAACTCGTGGCTACAGAGAACTTTCCTGAATGTGGTACCGGAAAATATGCCTTCCAACTCTTTATTACCATTAAACAAATATCTTTAGAGACCCTGCTAGGTGTAAGTTACTGAGAAGCGGGGAAACTGGCTCAGTTTTCGCGGCTGGGGGGTTAGGGTGAGGACTAGAGATTAATTGGAAAGACTAAATCTTTTGATTATGCTCATAGAAGTGTTCCTAAGATAAAATATATGTCTGTGAGAGCATATAGTGGAAAGGTGTAACCAAGACAAAATATTTCTACTGAAATCAAGTTTTAAGTAAGTGTTACCTAGGTACAGTAAAAGACAACGTATTGGTTAAAGCTCCGCGGTCTGGGGGAAAAGATGTTTCCACTTAAATGACTTGAAAGAAAGCAAGGAAGTTTATGCAAAAGGAGAGAGGCCTGAAAGAGAGAGTGGCTGGGGCCAGATCATTATGGATTTATGAATCATGAGCTTTATCTTGTGACATTATTTTCTGACACCAAACTAGGAAAAGAGGTTTATACCTGGCCAGTCTTTTTGTTTGCTTTCTTTTTAAATAGCTTTATTGAGGTATACTTGTATATTACAAAGTCTTCAAGCAGAAATGACAGCACAAAGGGATAGGAAGACATCTACCTCTGTAAACGCACCTTCATTTTTAAAAGGCTGATTATACAAATGCATCTCAATCTTATGTAAAGTGCAAAGGCATTCTAGACATCAGTTTGTAATATAGTGCTTAGTTCTATTTCACCCTAGCCTTTTTACCCTCTAATATCTAAGAGTCTTCTAAATGGAATTTCTACTACAGAGTAGTTTTGTGATGCTATTTGTACTTTTGAAAGATTTCTGGAACTGCTGAGTGGAGAATGGATTATAGGATGCAAGAGCAGATGTGTAGTGCTCATTACGCGGCTTTTCAAAAGCCAACAGGAGACGTTGGGTGCTGTAACTGGTGCCTGTACCCTCAGTATTATAGACAGCTAAATTAGATTAACAGGTAGTAAGAGAGGGATCAGGCTCTTGAGGAAGTCAGTGCAAAAGATGAGATACATCAAAGTTCTGCCAGCAACAAATTTGAAGAGAACCAGGCATGCAGACATAAACAGCAGCTTTTGATTACACTGTGATTAACACCACCTGGTCCAATAAGCCTACATACTCCATCAGACACATGAATGGGTTGATCAAACACCTTAACCCATACTCCCATTCCTTCCCAGGAAATGCCTTTGTTCTATGTTAAAAGTTATAGATAAGCTAAAGTTAATGATGCTCACCATTTACCTTTGCTATGTGCCTCACTTCCCTATTGGACCAATATTAGCTAGGCAACTATACGTAACTATAGGTTGACTGTAGTTTGATCCATGGTTACCCAAGTTGTGATTCTGCTGTATAAAATACCCCTGGCAAAGAGCCTCAGCAGCCACCCACTCAGGTCACCTCTTGGAAATCCAGAAGCTATTATTTCCAATAAAGACTCTCCTAACCTTCCCCTGTGGTTTTCGACTTCATTCCCTGATGTGAGACCACAAGCTTGGCTCGTATGATAACACCAGCTACTTAAGAGGCGAAGGTGGAAATATTCTTTGAGTCACACCTGAAGTTGGATGCCAACCTGAGCATCACAGCAAGACTCCAATGAAAAACACAAAAACAAATCAACATGAGAGAAAAATAGCAGCTGGAACTTAGAACCTGGGCAGTGAGCAAAGAGTACAGTTCCAAGAAATATTTCGGTGCCCAACTCTTCTTGGGAATGACTGAACCTAGTACTTAAGGGAAATGTAGAAATCTGGGGCAAGTGAAAAGGTGGCAGTGCCATCAGTGAGAGGGGGTTGCAGAGGAATAAATATAGCTATGGTATGAGTTAAATATTTTAAGTCCACCTGGTGGAAATGGTAAGTTAGTAAAGGTCTGGAATCAGACAGAAACAAATCTGAGGGGGCTGGGGATTTAGCTCAGCAGCACAGCGCCTGCCTGGCAGGCGCAACGTCGTGAGTCAATTCCCACTACCGGGGGGTGGGGTGGGGGGGAACATTTGGAAGTCACTCGCTGACAGGAGCTAACTGAAGCTACAAGAGAGGATGAAATAGTTTGAGGAACATAGGTCTTTAGACATTAGGTAAAGGAAGAGAAACCCACAGAAGCACTGGGGAGAAACAGCATAAAGAGCAGGTTATTGTGTACTAGATGCCTAGAGGTTCTCAATTTTTATCTTACATACTGCCAGAAGACAAGTTTAAATGAAGTAAGCGTCTACTGGCTTTAGTGATGTGAAGGTTACTAGTGACTGTAGCAAAAGTCATTGTATATAATGTAGAAATCACAGTGGATTTGAAGAACAAGTAGGAGATATGGAAATGGAAAATATGCGACAACACTTGAGAAGTCTATGAAGCAGACCTGTTGGGAGAAATATGAGGGCCAGATTTCTTTTGCTAAGAGGCACATTCAACTCACACAAGAGCTACATTTAACACACACACACACACAAATTTCATGAAACTGACAGGAGACAGGATTCCAGCACATTAAATAACTAGCTTTAAAAAATAGGATATTTCCTACACAGGAGTACACATATATTTGTGTACATTTGTCGGGCTTTTTCCTGTGAAGCAAGTCATTAGGGGCTGAAGAGATTGATAAGGGTATGAAGCTGTTAAAAAGGGATTAGAGAAAGAGTAAGATTGCTGGCAGTGCTGAGTGCCTAAAGGTGTTCGTGAATTTATCGTGGTACGAATTTACTAAAAGCATGACCTGTAACCAGCCGCAGTGCTGCATGCTTCTAATTCCAGCTACTTGGGAGGCTGGGACAGGAACACTGCAAGTTCAAAGCCAGGCACAACTTATCAAGACCATCTCAAAAAATATGAAGTACAGGGCTGACTGGTGGCACACCCCCTAGTCCAATTCCCTAGTACTGGAATAACAAAGCTATATAACTTCTAGCTGCAAAGATGCAGCAGTATTAGGCTCACCCAGGGTTGGTGTTTCGGCAGGGTAACAGAGCAGCAGCATACAAGAACTTAAATAAAGTACCTCCACTAAAATCTAGTCAACTAAACCACAAACCACCAGCCTCATACCTGCCGTCTGCAAAAAGCATGTATTGACTGAAAAGCAAGAGCACACACTAAAGGGGACTGCAGGTGGTGTGTGCTCCACACGGGATTGTGCTATCTTTGTAAGATTTGTGTTCCTGCAGAAGGGTTCCTACATTCTAAGAGTCCAAGGTAGGATGCTGTTGTGGCGAGACTAGGAACAATTTGGGTGCCGTCACAGTTTAGCAACTGGATTTCCAGTAGTAAATGGGTAGAAGCAGTTCTAGGGGTATCAAAGCAGTGGTCACAAAACGCTGTTATCATTATGTACTTATAGCTCCTCAAGGCTTGGAAGAACGTGTTTCTTGTGACCTTTGCTCTGTCCCTGTCCTCCCACCCTACCACTACAGGTGCTTTTTTTATGCCTGAGCCAACTTCCAGTCATCAATGGATTTAACTTTCATACTGAACATGCCAAATGTGACTGAATTTTTTACAACTTAGTCCACACTTGTCTTCCCCACTGTTCTCTTAATGTAAGTGCCTATAGAATTACCCTTGCTTTCTGACAACTCCCAATCTTCAGTGACCCTCTAATGCTTTAGACCACCCCCCAAATTACCCAGCCGAAGCTCAAACCCTAGTTTAGGTTCTAACACCCTCATACTCATGATATACCAGCTTCTCCAAGATGTATGAAGTGTTCTAAGATAAAATATATGTCTGTGACAGCATATAGCAGAAAGGTGTAACCAAAACATTTCCACTGAAATCAAGTTTTAAGTAAGTGTCAGCTAGGTACAGTAGGGGACAAAGTATTCCCAATAAGTTAAAGCTCTGTGGTCTGGGGGAAAAGATGTTTCCACTTAAATGGCTTAAAGAGCAATATTTGTGCTTTGCTGCCAGAACACAATACTGTGACATTTACTAACAATCTTGTTCACTGCAGATACACTAATTCTTATACAACACATTCATGTATGTTCCTTTTGAAAACATGGCATTTCTAAAGGTCAACAACTGTGACACAAGGTCAACTATAGTCAGTTTTAAAACATCCACACACTGCTTGATTGCCTGATATGGCTTTAGTGACTCACTCAGAACCAAGATAATGTAGAAGTAATGCTGAATGACTTCTAAGTGCTTTTTCCTGAGTATTTTTTGAGGCAAGGTCTCCCTATGCAATCCAGGCTGGCCTTGAACTTGTGGCAATCCTCCTGCCTCAGCCGCCCAGAGGCGTGTGCCACTTCGCCTGGCCTTCCTAAGTATTTTAGAATGTCTAAGTTTCTGAATCCAGCCTACAACAACTCCAAGCAACATATAGGCCAAGTTAAAGAGTAGATGGTTCTTGTCAGTAGTTCCAGTCTAGTTCTGGCTTTCAGTGATTTAAGTCTGGTCACCAGCCCTGTGACATGACTCCAGGTGAGTACAGCCCTCAGCTGTTCAAGCTATCCCCAGCCCTTAGTTTTCCCAGACAAAGCCTCAGACATCACACAATAGAGAATCCACCCCCACTGTACTGTATCTAATGCCTGAAGCACATAAACATAAAATGGTTAAGACACTAAAGAGTGGTTTCCCCTCTGCTTATCCCCCCATGCAGGCGACTGTGCCTAGGGCCTTGTGTGTAGGCAAGTACTCGTCCCCTG